ATTCATATGTATATAGCTTATTTAAAATATAAAGATTAGCCATTTGTAAAAATATAATATAACTTTAATGTTAATACTTTTAAGCGAAATAAACATTACGCGCATATAAAATTGCAGAGATAAATATTTCTGATGCACAATTTGTGAATGTAGCACGATTATATAAACCAAGTATCGATTTATTATCTGAAGTTGAAAAATGGACGTATTACTCTCAGAAAAGTGGACGTATACGTCAGAAAAATAGACGTATTACCGTCAGAGCTATGTAGTTTACATTCACTTTGTCAGGGGGCAGTAGTGCGCGGCTGCATTTTGCGGTTAATGGGCATATTCTCTTTCAAGTTTCTCTTTGATTCTCTCTCTTGTTTTATTACACTATGCAAATATGCGGAAACGCGCAGAGCATCAATCAAACTTCCCTAGGATAAAAAATGAAAATTTTTACTATTGAAATTAATGAAGAAATTTTTCACTTTTCACTTTCCATTCTAAGGATAAAGTTTTATGATTGATATCCAGATGTGTCCACCATTCTTAGGGGCCGATTGCTCTGTATTCTAAGGAGACTACACGTAATAACGGACAATTAGAACGCAATTTGTGTCGCTATGTGCACTAAAGTGTTTAGGGATATTGCAATTGGAAAGCACCGCATGTTATCTCCACCATGGTTCTGATTGGAACGAAACTTGTGTCGCCACGAGAGAATATCAGGTGTCTAGGAATATTGCAATTGGAAAGTACCATATATTTCAGTGCGTCCGGCACTGCTGACCGCGCACGTTGCAATTGTTGGTTGCCCCAGAGACCGCGTCTTTATTTAAAAATGGCGCACGTTTTCGATTTCGCCTTGATTGCGCTTCTAAAACGATTCCACGAAGAATGAACGAGGATACTATGGAGAGCGCGAGTTCTCTCAAGAAGACGGCACGGAGGCTTACCGATGACATACAGAGCATGTCGAATTACAGGGCGCTTTACAACGAGATACAAGTGCGTGCTCGATACTCGTTGAATGCCCGTAAAAGCGATGGCAATGCATTTCCCATCTGTCTTTTAATTCACAGAAACTTGTCACGTCATCCGTCGTGAACAAAGACGACTTTAAGAACTCGCTGGTCGCAGCACTTAAAGATAATGGTCTGGAGACTGAAATCAGAAACGCGGTGTTTCACTGGACACGATCACGGGTATTCCCCAATCAATTCACAATGAACTTTCTATTGTTTGTGGCTCAACTATTTATTTCAGTGAGCTCTATAAAATAATACCATCGAGGAATGGAAGCGTCTTAGTTCCTAAACACTGATATTGTGTGTTTTTTTTTAAATTAGATATTCACTAATTATGAAATAATATTATTTTAAAATATAAGTAAGACAGAAAGATAAGTATTTATGTGCCTTCCCTTTCTTCCTTAAGCTACAATTTTCTTTAATTTAGTATAGGAAAGACTAATATATTATAGAGCTCACTGTACTTGAAACTAAATATATATATATTTAAAGTTTGGCACAAGCAAGAAAGGAAATGTTAGTGCAATCTAGTGCAGCAATAAATAACAGGGCGCCTATTCTTGAATTTATATCGTATTTGAAAAAAGAAAAGAACTAATATATTGTATATAACATGTATACAAGGCTGTATGTGATATTTTTCAAGAATAAGGCTCAATACAAATCATCTAAATGCATCTTTTTGTTTCTCTCTCTTTCTCTTTCCCTCCTCTCTTCCTTCCTCCACAGGGTTCGCTGCATTCCCAGTCAGTTGTACACATACAGGCAGCTGACCTGAGCTACCTAAAGAAGACTCAGATTCAATGGGAACGACGCATACAGAAGTCATTAAATTCAACATGTAGTGAATTGAACATTCCATTGGCTCGTATAAGATCCACTGCTGATAGGGATGAACTGGCTGAAAAATGGAATGAATTGAGCACTTATGATATAGGTAAATATTATAATGATATTAATTTAAAGATATGATTCAAGTTGTACTTTGAGTTACTTATAGAATATGATTTTTAGATTTATCACAATACCGACCACTGTATGCACCAAAGGACTTTCTAGATGTATTGTTCTCCATACGTGATCCTTCATTCAAAAAGCAACTGTGTGTAATTACAGATTTATATAAAAATCATTCCTACTCAACTTTATGTCAATAAAAATGTGTTTGTATAAAGGTCATTATTGAAATATTTCAGAGACGAATTAAATTGGGATTTTAGTCATATACAGATTAGTGTAAAAACGCTTGCGCAATTGGTGCGAATTTTACCTAATCGCTTCTAATTTATAATTTGTATACATGAATGTATATATAAAAGATTTCTTTGTATAGAGACGTATGTACTCAGAATTATCACAGGGACTGCCATTACTAGGAATAAATCCTGATATGCTGGCTACAGAAGGGTTCCCAAATTTGGAAGCTGAGCGAACGCACATTGGCGAAAAAGTATTAAACTCGAATCATGCCCCAATTGCACAGGAATTTCTTAAAAGTGGATCTCCCCGAGCTTTGCGTGGTCGTATTTGGTCACTCGTTCTCGGATCTGTTATCAAAGATAATGTATGATTAATATCTCGTGTTGCAATGACTTTTGTTGCATTGTAAGTTAAAGATTGATGTCTCTGATTATTATCAATATGGATATATAATTTTTCTTCTTTAGGATATAGAATATTACGAAGAATTGAAAAATATGGTTTTACAATATGATATTGTGATAGACAAGCTGATAATAATGGTAACATATTTTAAATTATATTATCTGCTCCTAAGTAAAAGAAACAATGTAAAACATTTTGCGTGTTGATAGGATGTACAATTAACGGCGAGAAACGACGATCAATACTTTGTATTTGAAGATGTTTTGTATAAGACAATGTTGTGCTTTTCGAGGGATTCTGAAATACTTGCTCCAGTCACAACCGATAGAAGTGCCGGGAGTCAAGTGATCCACGCGGTTTTGCAAGGCAAACCAGCGACACTGGAAAATACTTTGGTTTTTCCACCAAGTGGTGTTATTCCGTTCCATGGATTTACAATGTATGGTAAGAAATTGCAAAAGATCTGATTTAGTTAGTCAATTATTCTCTTCTTATATTTAAGACTATCTTAAGTACGTACAATCGTAAATCATTCAGAATTGTACGTAGCATTTCATGACAAGATTCTCAAAATGGTCTTTGAATACTAGCCCTAATGTTTTTTTTTTTAATTAACTAATTGCCAATATTTCCATATTAGCTACGCCATTTTGTTATTTATATGATGATCCCTGCATTATGTATTATACTTTCCGTGCATTCTACTTGAGATACTGGTTCCGTTTGCATACTGTATCGAGTCACGAACAAGGTATAGTTGCTCTCTGCTTACTTTTTGAACGATTACTGCAATGTCATGAACCGCAGTTGTGGGTTCATTTCAAAAATATACATATTCAACCGTAAGTTTATTTCTTTATAGCTATCTGTAGCATTATTTGCGCAATTCATTAATTCAACGTGTATGCATTTCTAGCATAAAAATAATTTTCAAATGGCTTATGAGAGGCTTCAGTGGTCATTTACCGCCTGAACAATTGTTGTATCTTTGGGATTTAATTCTCGGTTATGATTCTTTGGAAATTATTCCATTATTGGCAGTGACAATATTGAGTTTTCGAAAAGAAAATTTACTGCAAGTTAATACCCAACAGAATGTAGAGGTATAGAAACGATATGATTATATGAATTCCTGCTAAACACAAAGTAATTATATTAATTGCAATTTTCCACTCAATAATATAAATGTAATTAATATAACGTACACATTGACATAACAGATAGTTACATTATTGAGTAGGAAATTAATATTAATGTAATGTTGTTACTTTATGTTTAGTAAATTACAAGTTGTATGCGTGTGTGTGTGTGTATATGTAGTACTACCTATATGTACATTATCTTATTTTCAGGCTGTGTTAGCAGACTTATCTTCACTAAAAGTAATGCCTTTGCTGCAGTTGGCTCTTTTAAAAGAATAATTACACTTTTCATTCATATAAATTTATAATTACAAAATTTGTAAACTTCTTTTTAGATTTGTGTATCACTTATCTAATTTTCATCGTATCTCAGCTAACGATAGATATATTCGTAGAAAATTCGATTCGTATTCTCAGTGTGCCGAATATTTCAGCACAGTGAAAGATTCGTCACAGAATATGAAATGTTGAAATATTGTATATGAATACTCCTTGTATGTGTATCACGAAAATTGCGAGCAGTACATATCTCCGTCGACAGAGGGTCGCGGTGGAGAGCATTTACTCGTTAACAAGAATCATCTGGGAAAGAATATAACGAGTGCAGCATTTCGCTTACAAAGTAAGCCCTAATCAGTTTCAAGATAAGACCCCAAGGTGAAGGTGCAAAGTGCGTTTTTCAAAACAAAATTTTGTTTAAAAACTGTTTCATGGATGGACCGGACCTGAAACTTTTGGAAAAATTAAAATTTTTGCGGAACGCATACATAGAGAGAACATTCTCATAATATGTAACGATATATAAATAGAATTTTTAAACGATATTTTTGAATATTGTTTTTACATTCCGTAAATATTTCGGAGTATTCCGGAATACTCTTGGAATGGTTTTTGGGGATTTTAGGAACCTTTTACAAATATTTTAGGAATATTTAGCGTTAGCTGGGATCTTATTCCATAATTTTATTCGTAAAAATGTATTGAAAAATATGTATGCCACCTACTCATGTGAAATAATAAATTAATGTGAAATAGATAAAATAGAAAAAAAAACACAAAAAACAGTAGACAAAACTAACAATCATTATGAATATGAGGGAAGTAATCGTTGATATACATATATCTATGGGACTGTGTGGGAGACTTGAAACAATGTTATGTCGTGGGGAAGGGATAAAGTGTGGCGCCCCGAAGGAGGATGGAGGGGGGCTTTCCTGCTTCCGGCTGTCAATCGTGAAGCTTGGTCGGGCTGGACGGAGCTTGGAGCTGGTTGGAGCTCAGTAGAGTAACGCATGGTGACGCTGCCTGACTTTCCTTGGTCTCTCGTGTTCGTTGTCAATAGTGTCAGTGGTCAGCTGTATTCCTGGATACTCGTCTAACTCGTTGTGGAAGCGCGTCAAAGATTGGCACGCGTAAACACGCCTCGATTGCGAATCCCCGTGAGTATTTTGCGTTTCTCATTGACCGATTTACATATGTCGCTGCTGCTGACAGCGTCATTGCGGTAAGCGGCGATCTACAGTCCCCATACGTCATGAAGATAGGGTGGTTTTCCACCCCCAAATTATTAGTCACGCACGGCTTTGCTCAGGCGGTTCCAACCGAATGAATTGCGTCGGCGTCGTTCACTTGTTGTCACCGACGCCGTGCGTTGATGCCCGGCCTCGAGAGAAAGAGGAAGAGAGGGAGGGAGAGAGAGAGAGAGACTCCGGCGTCGATTTCTCCCTACCATTATTCCTGCCAGGAGCAACGCCCAGCGAATTATTCGCATGTGTTCAAGTGTCTCTGCGCGAAATCTCGGTTGAGAAACTGAGTTTTCTCGCAAGATTTGTCAATAAAAAATTCCGCGGACGCTGGTCTTTGTCCTGTCCCCCAAAATTGTGCCTGTATACCTCTTTAAAAAATTGTAATACTGTCTACACATGCTCGGAAAATATCTTTTCTTACATTTCAATCAGTCATTGTTTTCAAGAGTGTTCAAGATAAAGCAAAAATGATATCTGATTACGTACAATGTTTCGAAATTGATTGATAATGAGAAATTAATTCTAATGATGTAACTTGGTGCTTTTACTTCCTTCAGGTTACATGATTTAAGTGGATTGTCTGGACATTTAAACAGAGTAAGCAGTGTATTAAAATGGCTTGGCGTTTCAAAGCGTCCAAATACAAAAATGCAGCGCCAATCGTTCCCAAGCCAGAGGCTTGTATTCGAGATATCTCTGTGGGGTCGTATCAGACCTATGGCAATAATATTGCAGCATCCGCAGCGTTCATGGCATTCAATGTCGATCATAATGGTATTACATTTGTATTTACCTTCAATAGATTGATCTCTTCGAGAATATTCATAAATTATTGTACATTAATTAAATAAAATCATAATTCCTTTCCAATTGAAGGATCTAGCTTAGCAGTATTGCCATTGGAAGATTGTGGCAGAAAAAGCAAAACTATGCCACTGTTGCATGCGCATGCAGATACTGTGACGGATATGGATTTTTCTCCATTTCACGATGGCTTGCTTGCAACTGGGTCTCAGGATTGTCTCGTAAGCATCTTAGAATTGTATTTTCAGCAAATATAAAATAAAATGCAAAATACTATTTAAGAATTTACATTTTCTAGATGTCATATTAATTCTATTTAGAAGCTATGTGTATTTTATGGATTATTTCTGTGTCTGTATTCATTCTTGAAATGTCAATGTATTTCGCGAATGTTGGTATTTCAAAAATGGATATGGATATGAAGATAACTCGCAAAATACATAGCTTTTATACATAGAAAGTACCGGTGGAAATCTCAAAAGTAATTTGTTAATTCCATTTGTATAAAACTAGGTAAAATTATGGCATATCCCAGAAAGTGGCTTGGAAGAATCCTTATGCAATCCAGAATGCACATTCTCGCATCGTCAACGAAGAGTGGAAGCAGTGTGCTGGCATCCTTCTGCTGAACATCTTCTGACCACTGCATCATTCACCAATCTCTCGCTCTGGGATGTTCTGTCACAACAGGAATTATTTTGTAAATATTTCATAACTTTACTGACACTTGTTGCTTTACTCTCATTTATGAATGTTATGTTGATGCAGCTAATAGCGACCACACCGAAGTAATCCAGTCTGTAAGTTGGAAGGAAGACGGTACTGTTTTAGCGACATCCTGCAAGGACAAACAACTGAGGCTTATAGACCCGCGCGCATCAACGTGTATCGTTAATTCATGTTCGAGTCACCAAAGTATTAAAGATTCCAGAACAGTCTGGCTAAATAACGACAGAATACTCACCACAGGATTTGATGCAGCAAGACTTCGTCAAGTTTACATTAGAGACTTAAGGCACTTGAATGAGCCAATGAAAACATTGGAATTAGATTGTAGTACCGGGTAAATATGAGTAGAAGTCAATCTTTCCACTTGAAATTTATTTAATCAGTTTAATTGCTAAGTAGCCATTGATAATGTCGTATATATTATAATGTCTTAAGATAACACATATTAAGATAAGTAGGTAATTATTTGTAGTATAATTGTAATAGTATAATTGTAGTATAATTTGTAGTATAATTGTCTAATATATTTTGTTAGTATTTTGATGCCGCTTTTTGATCCCGACACAAATATGCTCTTCCTCGCTGGCAAAGGAGACACCACTATTATATACATGGAAGTCACAGAGAGAGATCCTTATCTAGTAGAAGGGATCCGTCACAGTGGTGAACAAACTAAAGGAGTATGCCTGGTTCCTAAACGAGCATTAAATGTAATGCAAGCTGAAGTTAACAGGCTGTTACAGCTTACCTCTAATATGGTAATTCCTATCATGTATCAAGTTCCACGAAAAGTAAGTACATATAATGAAGTTGTACATATAATATTGTGCGTGCGTGCGTGCGTGCGTGCGTGCGTGCGTTGCCACATACAATACATATATCTAAGCTTTTTAATAAACATTAAATTTTAGACATACAGAGACTTTCATGCAGACATTTATCCGGATACAACTGGCCCTGTTGCTCAAAATAACGCAACATCATGGCTTAAGGGTCATAATGCACCTGTACCAAAGATGTCGCTAGATCCTGCCAAAAGAAACAAAGGCCAAGAACCGATTACTGTGAGTAAACATTTTAACAAATGCTATGCAAGTTCTCATATCGCTCTTAATGTGGCATACATTTGAAGTAGCTTTCGTTCGTTAAAATTTTGTTTGCTTATTTGTAAATATCAATTATATTATTGCTTTAAATACAAATCATCGATAATTGCATGTTTTCATCGTCATATTTTCTCGCATTATCATCCCATATTCTCTAAAACAACTGATTTTTTAGAATAAATATTGAATTGTTACAATCAATCTATTTGCTTTGTGCACCTATTTTAATGTAGATATGTATACTTTTAAGTAGACTTTACGTTATGTTTTCTAATTTATTCTAGAATATGATAAAAGTAATCAATATGATGCTATTTATTTTATATAAAATAGTTGTTTTATTTGTACAAGTGTTGCAACGTAACTTTATTAAAAAATTACTTGCTGAATATATGAGCTGGTTTTTATGTAATTTATTACGTATAAATGTTTGCAATATACTTTTTATGATACAAAGTGCTAAATTTTTCTGTAGTTCTTAGTATGATATTATGTATTATAAATATGAGAAATATTAATAGAATGTATAATGTAAGAAATATTTTTTTTATTATATAACATTTTATATCTCGATATTCCATCTTTTGTCGGAATTTCTATTTATTAAATTATTTGATTATTACTAATTATGCATACATTTATTTTGCGCTATTCAGTTTCTTTCTCCATATTCTGTGTATATCTTTTTTTTCACGTTTCAGATATCCAATATATGTTTTATTGTTTATACATTAGCACCATTTAAACTATTATTCCTGGCACGTGTAATATAAGTGGCAATTGATGTTGTAGCTTATTCTACAGTGTAAGTAATAGTATGAAATGTAAAAACATTCGTATTGCCTATATGGTCATGAGATAATCTCTTTTTGTAAATTTACTTTCAACAAATTTAATCACGAAATACTTTAGGCTAAAGCTAAAGCTTATATTTGTATCTTTTTTTTTATGTACTGCTGTCTATTCTGTACAAAAATGCGAGCTACGTGCGTACATATAATATGTAAAAATAATGTGAATGTAGCTGAATTGTTGCTATTGTTAAATTATCGTGTTAATTATGCAGAAATGTATATCAAAAGTGCAAAGTATTGGACAGTGTAGTTTGGTTTGCATGCAGTTTGTGGTCATTAAGGATTTTACCGTACCTTCAGGTACACAAAGGGAACTTAGCGGTACTCAAAGACAATCAGCGCGAAATTAAAGTAGAACAAACAAATCGATCATCGAAACCCTTGGTCATTACCGCGCCAAAAGGATTCTCGAAAGTGCAGAGCAACGTGACAACTATGAATGAACTACAACGTGAAAATGATATCAATATAGAGAAAAATGACAACATCATAAATACTGATAAGATTGAAGATTTGAAAAAGCCATCCGAGGTAGAAGAAGAAAAGCTCAAGATACAAAATGGAGGACAAACCGTTCCACCAAAGCCTTTACCAAGAGCCTCAAGAACCAACAGTATCTCCGAGGAGGAACCAAAACCAGTGGCACGTCCTCGTACATCGCCAAATCCAGGATCAGTAGTTACATCAGTAAATCCTAACGCAATTGGTGGATATAAGGTTATACTCAGCTTAAAAAGAAATTTATGTTACATACAGGATATTTGATTTCTGTGACAACGCGTGACACTTTTGCATGCGGCCAATTTCCTGATTCTATCACATTCATGTCATTGTCATACCATTTCTCTCTCTCTCTCTCTCTCTCTCTCTCTCTCTCTCTCTCTCTTTCTCTCTCTTTCTTTCTCAGTCAATACAATTTTTTAAAGATGAAGAAACAAATAAAGAATTCATTTTTTTCTTTTTCATTTTAGCCCCGACTTGGTCCTAAACCATTCCAAGCAAAGTCCAGTAGTCAGGAATTTTCATTTGACAAGGTCTTCTCTGTACCAATTGCACCGAATAATGACAGCAACACCAATGGTTATCAGAATGAAATTAATAATACTGCGGAGCATAATGCAGAAGTAGATAAGTCTCCAACTTTAACATCTAATGAGCGTGCAAAGGATATGGAAAATGGCAAGAGTGATTCGAGCTCTATCGAAGAAGATGCTAATTCAAGTGACTCTGGTTATAAACCAAAGACACCAAGCACTGCAGAAAGACGCAAAGTGTTTGAGACGAAAGTGAAGGATGAATCACCTGAGAATGAGGACGTTGGGAATTTTGAACGTGGCACGAACAGGAACTCGATCGCCGAAAGGCGGCGCCTTTATGAGAGTCGATCTGTGTCTGTCACCGATGGGAATTTGGCGGAAAAAGCTATGGGTTCGCCGACCATGCTGAGACGAAGAGATTCTTTCAAGGGAATCGCAAAGAGCGAGGTGATTAAAGAGGATGAAACGAAGAAGAGCATTCCTATATTGCGACAGCAGAGCATGGATCCTAAATTGGAAAAAGTGGAGCCTGTTGTAACACCAGTTTCAAAACGAACGTCAACAGTTTTCGGTAAGAGTTTCTCTTGCAACCTTGTGAAAGGTATTTTGTGCGTTGTTTAATGCAAATATCTTGATTGTTATACAGGAAGAGTGTCCAAGTTTCGGCACTTGAAAGGTACTCCGGGACATAAATCTACGCATATTGAAAATATACGCAATATCAGTCGTCAAATATCCGGCGAATGTGATGGCTTCCACGGTAAAATTTTTTTTTCTCAATAAGACTCAGCAAACATCAACTAACAATAACATAACTGTTAGTTATAATTTCCTACTCAACAATATAATCAAAGATTAGATCTTGACGAAATTGTACTACTTTTAATACGATTTTCAACATATTTCCATTGGATTAGTTTTAAATAAATGTTTACAAATGATTCAGTACATTAAAAAGTACAAGATAACTTGCATAAGAAAGACTTCATCGTTTAGGATAAAATCTGTAGGTAATTTTAGTTACTTTCCTTTGCAGCTAATCCCGATCGAGTGGCTGTACCTTTGAGTGGCCCAGGTGGAAAAATAGCAGTGTTGGAATTGAAAAAGACTGGAAGACTACCTGATGGAGTTATGCCAGCATTAGTCCACGGCGCGACTGTAATGGACTTTCAATGGGATCCATTTGATAATCAGCGATTAGCAGTTGGTAAAGTACAAAAGTTGAAAATTTATAACAAAGAAGAAATATATTATTCCATCAAATTTAAAAAGTACTATAATAGAATTTGCTTGTGCTAGCTTGTGATGATGGAATAATTCGCTTGTGGGAAATACCTGAATCTGGTTTGGCAGAACCGACAAACGAACCGAAATACACCATAGAAGCTCATACCGATAAAATTTATTTAATCAAATTTCATCCACTGGCGTCAAATGTTCTTGCATCTGCTTCGTACGATATGACCGTCAAAATCTGGGATTTGTCGCTGTTATCATCTACTGAGAATGCAAAAATCACGTTAATCGGTCATACTGATCAAATATTTAGCTTAGCGTGGTCACCATGTGGCCAATATCTCGCCAGTACATGTAAAGACGGTAAATTACGGATTTATAAACCTCGATCGAGTGACGTTTCAGTGAAAGAAGGAAAGGGTCCCGTTGGAACGAGGGGTGCAAGAGTTATATGGGCACTCGAAGGCAGATATCTCGTTGTAATGGGCTTTGATAAGTAAGTACAAAGAACCACATATCTCGTTCAAAAAAAATATACATAGAGAAAGTAATGATAGAAATTTATATCTTCCAGAGTTTCTGAAAGACAGATTTATGTATTTAAAGTGGACAATTTAAATACTCCTTTGAACACTGTTGGATTGGATGTCTCGCCTGCCATACTAATGCCATATTATGACGAAGATAGCTCCACGCTTTTTCTAACTGGACGTGTAAAATTCTTTTTTATATTCAATTTTTTTTAATTACATGAAAAATTCGCCATAAGTTATATTTACTTCTTCTTTTAAAATATTATTTGTAGGGTGATTCTACAATATATGCATTTGAAGTAACCGAGGAAGCTCCATATTGCTGTCCATTGAGTCATCATAGATGTAGTAGCTTGCACCAGGGTTTGTCATTCCTTCCAAAAAATAAATGTGACGTGGCCAGCGTGGAATTCGCCTCTGCTTTGAGGCTAACAAATAACACAATAGAACCTTTAAGCTTCACCGTGCCGCGTATAAAGGTATAACGTATGGTTAATATACATATATTGTAGTATAAATCATTGTGAAAGTGCTAATGTATTCATTTATTTAAATTAGAGCGAATTGTTCCAAGATGATCTCTTTCCTCCAACTAAAGTTATCTGGAAACCAACTTTATCCGCGTCAGAGTGGTTTAACGGCGGCAATAAACAACCATCTAGAATGTGTCTTAAGCCACCTGGTATGGATAATTGTAAGTAAAAGATGTTATATTGTTAAAGTGGGAAGAAGTATTTGTTACATGCAAGTTTTTATTCACAGTAACTGAGAATCAATCTCAAAATGCAGTTACACCTCCCCAAATTGCAACCAAACCATCACCAACCCCTTTTGGAATCACTACACAATCTTATAATAGATTAGGATGGAATCCGGACATTAAAGCAAAACAAGAAGAGGTGAGAGGATTGAATTGAATTTACGCATTTTGCATGTATTTTATGAATGGATATTGATGTAAAAATGATTTCTTACGAAACATTGTCGCATATATATATATATATATTCTCGATTAATATTATTTAATGATACAAAGCATAATGCATCCAATTATTTGAAAACAAAAATTTTTATACTATGAAAATTCTTTTTGTGAGACATCATTGCTTCTATGTAATATCATGTTTGAACATATTGTGTGCTTGTGTATTAGATCCAGAAAACTATGAGCCATTTTGTGGGAGACGTTATCCAGTGTTCGTTAGAACAAGATCACATGGAAGGTGTTGAGGAACATGAATGGGTAAGTGTTTATTTGCTGTAAATCATAAAATTGAAATCGTGTCAATAAGGTAGCTGATACTATTAAATGATTATACATGTAATAGTAAATTTATTATATAAATAACATAGCGAGAGAGAGAGAGAGAGAGAGAGAGAGAGAGAGAGAGAG